AGGCACATAAAAACTATAAAACAAGTGGCGGTTCATCCTTGTTATTCTCTGTATATAACATGTACAAGAGTATATTAGGTTTGCGGGAGCTGAAAATGTAATAGGCAGAAGAAGGCGTAGCAGACCCCACAAAGTATATATATTCTTGATCAGCATGACGAGACGAGTCGATCTAGCCCTGTTTGTCTGTCCGTCTGTCAGTCCGTCCGTATGAACACCTGGATCTCAGAGACTATAAGAGCTAGAGACACCAAATTTTGCACAAAGATGCCTTATGTGTGTACACTGTGCAAATTTGTTTTATTTTTTTGATTTCCCCCACTTCCCCCCTATGGGCGTTTACCCGATTTTCCATTCGTATTATCGCCTATGTCTCGGAGACCTTATGTGAATACGCAGAAAATATGTATTTTGGAATTTTCCTTTCTCCCCCCTCTCCCCACACAAATCGTAACTCCCGTAATTCTTGGAATTTCAAACTTGGCAAATACCTCCATTTAGTTATTATAAGTTCAAATGCCAAGTTTCATAATGATAGGCCGATTTAGCAGGAAGTTATAGCCATATATGGATAAATGACCAATCAGTGCCCGCAGCTGTTGTTGTTGTTACTGCTTTGCTCAGGCACACGAGACATACACAGACACATACAAATACACACATACACGCATAATTATTCAACACATATGTACAGAGTATTTCAACGTCGGGATACCCGACTTTAGTTTCTCTACTTGTTTTTATCTATATTTTCCAATACCCCTCTAGTTTAAGGCAAATTATCCTTTCAATACCAATAGTGCGCGCCAATAGTTTAATGTTAAATTGTAAAATGACAATACACCTAATTCTGTTTTTACACAGTTTTGATTTAACATGGTGTGAACGTTAAAAATCTCTATATATATAAAACAGTTTGTCCTGACTGACTGATTGGTGATCAACGTACAGCCCAAACGGTAAGAGCTAGGAAGCTGAAATTTGGACTCAAGTATCCTTTCATAGTGTAGGTGCCCACTAGGATTTTGCAAAATTCGAGCTCCAAAGGGGGGAAAACAGGCTCCAACGTTTGTATGAAAAATCTACAATTTTCATCTGATTAACTTCAAACTTAGTTTGTATACTTTAAGAAAAGTTCCAAGAAAAACTGTGTACTGGGTTTTTTAGGTACTGAAATGTGGGAGTTTTCCTGTAAAAATAATGGGGCACAAAAGGAAACCGCGTCAACATCCCAAACGGTAAGAGCTATGAAGCTGAAATTTGGGCTCAAGGATCCTATCACAGTGAAGGTGCCCACATTTTTGAAAATTCAAGCTCCAAGGGGGGAAAACGAGCTCCACGAGTTTGTTTGAAAATTCTGCATTTCTGCACCGATCAACTTTAAATTTGAATTTTATAATCTATAAACAAAACTGCACACTCGGATTGTGGTGGAGCTTGAATTATTGGGGTTTTAATATTTATTCACCTTTTCAAATGAAAAGTTTGTGTTATAAATTTTTTCCGACCGATTTCAAATTTGGGGACTGTAATCTACGTAACTAAATCTACAACTTTGCATTCAAGGATTTTCAAAATATGCATTCCACAAATGCATATAGAACAAACAATACAAAATATCAAACAGTTGGGGACAACTAAGTATACATACACACACACCCACACACACCCACACACATACAAGCAACTGTTCGTGTAGTTGCGTGCAAACGATTGAAATTGCCAAAGCAAAAGGTGAGACACTAATGTGTGAATGTACACACATACATACATATGTACACATCTATGTACATGTACACATCTATGTATGTATGTATGTTCATTCGTCTTGCACTGACAGAGCAAGAATAATTAAAAATTATTTAACATTTTTAAAAGTAATTTTTTCTTTGTTTATTACATTTGATCTCAATAAACTATAAGATGTTATTATTTAAATTTTCTGTTAATTGCATTTAAACTTCGATGGAATTATTGATTGTATCGACGGATTCAACTATCGATAGTTTTGATGCTCTAACACATAGAGCATCCGACACATGCTCACCTCTAGCATCTCAGCTGATCGCATATTTACAGCGACTTACCGTTTTAGTGTTAGCTAACAACGCTACAAATGTATTCTGAACAAATCTAAGAGTCATTTACCGTTAAGCCTATTTTGTGAGTGTATTCATGTCATTTACAAAAGCAGAAACACACCTTTTGGTCATATTTGGAATTGAAGACACAAATTAGTGTTGAATTAAAAAAATTTATACATACTTATATATGTATGTATATATGTATGTATGTATGTATGTATGTATATAGGCGGATAACGCTTGCATGAAAAATTTAAATGTATGTACATATCAGCGTTGCCGAACGCTCCAATTTTGGCGGGACATCCCAATTTATAAATCAAATTTAAATGTCCCGCGTCAGACTTTTCGGATATAACTCGACCGTGCGTACAACGTGCTGAGAAAGCACACAGTTAAGTCAGGACTGGCAGTCCGCCCGGTGCGTAACGAAGATATGTACATATGTATGTATGTACGTATAACAATACATAGTACTTATTGTACTATATTTGCTATTTGGAAAATGAACTCTTTAAAAAACTTAAGAGAGCGTCGAAAGAAGAATATCATATAGCAAATAAACTTATAATTATAAGCACATTTTACTTAGCCCAGCAAAGACGGGCAAGACCTGCTAGTTTTATATATTTTTACACGACTTTATTCCATTTAGCACGATTAGAAAAAACACAAATTGAATAAATAAAAACACAAACAGCTGACGAACAGCTATAAACCATTCATATCTGGGTCGTTATGCACATTATATGTGTTTTAATAAAATAAACATATATCCTTGTATTTTCATTGATTTTAATAGCTTTTAGCATTTTTGCATATGATAAGTGCCTTTTTTACACGGTTTTGTTCTGGAACCAATCTACCTGTAAAAACAGAATTATGTACGACCAAACTGCCGAAATGCTTGGCTAAAAAGCAAAGAATTTGATTTGCAAAGATGACTCGGACAGACATAGGGTTTACTGCAACTGCAGCTATTGCAAGATCACTATCACATCCAAGCTTAGTGATTTGTGTGCAACAACAAAGAAGCACACAAGTGCAATGATTATTCAAAAAACAAAACAAAATAGACTTGGTCAGTTTGCCTGACTACCAATTGCCTAATAATTATTTACGCATGATTTTTACGACCATGTCGTACGAATGCGAACCTCGCAGAACTGAATGAGTTTTTTTCTGTAAATGTTCGGTTTTTCGGTTCGGAGGAAGAAGAAGAGCGAACTTGTTGCTGCAGTTGGTGGGGGTTGTACTGGAGAGAATTTGTTTCGCTAATAACTTTTCTTAGAATTCACCGAATTGAAAAACAACAGTAGATAATTATATATAAATTATGTGTGCAAAGTTTGGTTTAGGTAGCATTTGAAATATGAACGGTACTGACGAAATTCTTCCTTCTGCATGTTACATGCTTTGCACAAACCTAATATACCTTTTTTACCCTACGGGTACAGGGTATAAAAATAACAGGACTGGCTGTCGCTCACAATTTCGATGGGACGTTTTCGTTGTATGAAATGAAGCATCTACATATATGTTTTATGGTTAGTGGTAAAAGCTAAAAAAGTAAAAACAGCGTGTCCATCTATTTGGTGATTAAATCGCTTTGATTATACTCTGTCCATGAAATGTACAAGAGTATACGTGTATAAGGTTTGCGAGAAGTGAAAAATGTAACATGCACAAGCAAGTTTACATGTCAAGACGAGTCAATCTACGTCTCTCTGTCCGTCCGTTTGAATCTTAAAGACTATAAGGATAGAGACACCATTTTACGTACATACATATTGTATGTACGCTGTACGAGTTTGTTTTATAATATATAACCCCCCTATGGGGGTTTTTCCGTAACGCCGTTCGTATAATCGCCTATATCTTGGAGACCGCAAATCGTGATTTTCTTTAACTCCCGTAATTCTTGGAATTTCGAAGTCAAGTTTTGCAAATACCAGTTAGTGATTATGTGTCCGTTTGTCAAGTTTCATTATGATAGACAGATTTAACAGTAATTTATAGCCATAAATATAATTGCTGCCCAAGCGCTGCCCGCATCTGTTGTTGATGTTGGTGCTTTGGTTGACTGCAAACATGCTCACACAGACACGAATAGACACGCATAGACATACATACACTCACATAGACGCAATTGCTATGTAAATGTGCATTTATACACGCCCTATGTGAGATCGAATACCGAGAGAGGTAAAATAGATCAAATTTTTTTTAAATTTTCTTAATTTTTTTAAATTTCTATAATTTTTTTAAACATATGTACAGAATATTTCAAAGTAGAGACACCCGACTTTAGCTTCTCTACTTGTTTTAAATCATTATACACATATAACCAGAGTAACCCGACTTTAGCTTCTCTAATTGTTTTCATTTTTATAAAGTCATCTAACCAGACTGCAATTTCTTGGATTTGTCTAAAGCAATTTGTAAGCTAGTTTCGTAGAAATTGGAACAGCACACCTTCGCCAGGAGAATTTTATATCCTCTACCCGCAGGGTACACGAAGTCGGGCAAGAAAGGCCAATTTATGCATGTCCAGCATTCAACACCCGCTCTTTATGCTGAATTTATTGATTTCAAGCTCAAAAAAGTTTTGGGCTATGAGTTTGGCTGCTGGGCCACTGTGCCATGACCGAAAAAAACGAGCAAAAGGAACTTATACTTATTATTCAACTAGTGTTAATTGATTTGTAAATATCGAAACAAGATTCAATGCCCAAGTGTTAATACGTAAATCTACAACTCTAAGCAAATACATACATACATACATACATATGTATGTTTGCAAACGAATGTTTGTAAGTACACAGCTACGTACATATGTATTCAAAATTGCTTCGATGACTGCCTTAAGAGTATGTATACATATCAAATAAATTAAATTTTTCGATTTATTTACAGTGACGCAATTGTAGTGCCACATAACCCAAGAAGAAAAGAAAAATGGGTCGCTGGGGACGCCAAAGCCCGTTGCCATCGGAAACTCAGCTGCCGCCGATTCCTCCGCCCCTTCCGCCGCGAACCCTCTTTCGACAATCGAGTTTTACAAAAATTGGCAATATGTTAAACACGGCCATTAATATAAATGCCCCGAAGAAGCAGCAAAGTAAGTATCGATATCTATTTACTAATTCCACTACATAAAAGTACAAGTAATATAAATATGTACATACAAGCACCGAAGACTCTGTTTCGCCAGAAATTAATTTATGTATAAAAACAACACCTAATGAGATCCGGCGATTAGCAAGTGATGGAAGACCTAACAATTGTAGCCTGTGAGAATATGGTGGTAGAGGGTCAGTTCTACTCCATCCAAGACCACGTACGGCAAACAAAAGAAATTGTTTTTGAAAAACTTCAATGCGATCTTTATGAATTGCATATTACATTACATTACAACAATATTCTAAGGTAGGCTGCACAAGAGCCGTATACAAAATTAGAGTTGTGTAGGGGTCCTCAAATTCCTTCGCCCAGACTAGAGTGCCCTTTGCTTTATTAACAACTAGCAGGTCTTGCCCGTCTTTGCTGGGCTAAGTAAAATGTGCTTATAATTATAAGTTTATTACTATATGATATTCTTCTTTCGACGCTCTCTAAAGTTTATAGAGTTAATTTCATTCAATAGCAAATATATGTATGGTTATACGTACATACATACATATCTTCGTTACGCACCCGGCGGAATGCCAGTCCTGACTTAACTGTGTGCTTTCTCAGCACGTTGTATGCACGGTCGAGTTATCCCCGAAAAGTCTGACGCGGGACATTTAAATTTGATTTATAAATTGGGATGTCCCGCCAAAATTGGAGCGTTCGGCAACGCTGATATGTACATACATTTAAATTTTTCATGCAAGCGTTATCCGCCTATATACATACATACATATATAAGTATGTATTAAATTTTTTAATTCAACACTAATTTGTGTCTTCAATTCCAAATATGATTGTTGTGAATGTAAAAGGTGTGTTTCTGCTTTTGTAAATGGCATGAATACACTCACAAAATAGGCTTAACGGTAAATGACTCTTAGATTTGTTCAGAATACATTTGTAGCGTTGTTAGCTAACACTAAAACGGTAAGTCGCTGTAAATATGTGCTTTGATATTTGCGTTCTTTGTAATTTGTTGTTGCTGCATAAAGTTACTAATGAAAACCCCAATGCCAAATGTACTAAACAAAAAAAAAATTACTTTTAAAAATGTTAAATAATTTTTAATTAATTAACATTTCTTGCTCTGTCAGTGCAAGACGAATGAACATACATATGCACATACATAGATGTGTACATATATATGTGTGTACATTCACACATTAGTGTCTCACATATCTCACTTGCTTTGGCTATTTCAATCGTTTGCACGCAACTACACGAACAGCTGCTTGGATGTGTTAAGTCCAAATTTCAGCTTTCTAGCTTTTACCGTTTGGGCTGTACGTTGATCACCAATCAGTCAGTCAGGACAAACTGTTTTATATATATAGAGATATATTTATTTTTATATTATGATATTTAGCACGATTTTATTTCTTAAAAAAGGAACTCAAGTATCTTAAAAAAAGGAAAATAATATAAATTAAAATAGCATAACTTTTTTTAATTTAAATAAAAAGGAGGTATTTCTTTTCGCTAATAGTTTTGATGGCTTCTTTAATTTATATGTATTTACATACTTGTATACGATGTTACTATTTAACTAATAGCCGAAAAAACAATAGAAAATGCAAGTGCACGTGCACCCGCCGATATCATAGCAAAAAGTTTCGGTCACCGCCGCTCATTCTTAGTCTTTACAGTTGTGAGTCGAACTGACTGGTTGGTGAGGGTTCGTTTAAAACCAATCATTGCTTGCATTCATGCAAGAAGTTTCGGTCACAACCGTTGAGTTTTTGCAGTTTTGATTCGAACTGAGTGTTCGTTGAGGGCTCGTTCGCAACCAGTCATTGCTTGTCACTATACCCAAATGAAATAATCATACCATTTTGCAAGATCAAACCCAAATGGTTTCGCAATATAACAGCTGCAATTTTTCCATAGTATCTGCGCCAGATAGCAAATCATCCACATAAAAGTCAGAAGCTAATGACTTAGAAGCCAGTAGATGTGACTGCGCGTGCAGCTCACTCAAATATTTGAGGCATCGAATTGCCAAAAACGGTGCCAATGCGGTACCATATGTGACCGTATTTAATCGGTATATTTGAAGTAGCTCTTGGGGCTTTTCATCCAAGTGATTAACTGAAAATTGCGCTGTGATTCTTCGACTTCAACCTGCCGGTACATTTTGGCAATGTCAGCCGACAGTGCAAATGGCCGAAATGGTCGAAACCTCAACAAAGTGGAGTATAAACATGGTTGGATGGTTGGACCCATCATAAGAATATCATTTAATGACTTCTGTGACGACGTCTTGCTCGACGCGTCGAAAACTACTGCTTTGTGGTCTTAGCACACACTGCTATGGAATGAAATAGTGTGTCATATGGCCCAACAAAATATAGTCCAACATAAAGTTGTTGTACATGACATATATTTCTGGCTGCTTAGCCATTCTTCTCTCTAGTGCCAAAAAAGGCCTTTTAGCATTCACGAATGAGTTGCCAAGACACTGAGGGCTAGATTTAAATGCGACACTTTGCCGACCCGAGAGCAAACGAGTGATCGAATTCACGAATGATTCCTCACAACGCATCTGTTCTGGGGTATATAAGTTAGTTTCAGTTAAATTTGGAACTTCTTCCAACTCCCAGAACTTGCGAACAAGTGTGTCTAAATTAATTAATTCATGATTAGGCGAGATATCGTGACTTGAGCTTACAAGGACGCAGAACAAGATTCGGGTGAGCTCGCAGACTGGCATCGACCGGCCACTATCCAGCCGAGGGCTGTTGCTTGCAAGGTTGGAGACTCACTTGTTCCCTTTAGGTGCCCTTCTCTCAAGAGCTCGAAAAATGCATCTGCTCCAAGGAGCATATCAATACTTTGTGGCCTATGAAATTGAGGATCTGCCAACTGAAGATCCTAAGGTACATCAACGTTCACCACAGCCTTTTCAGGCTGGTAAGACGAAATAGCGCTTAATATTCCGAATTCCGAATGAAAAGTAAAATTGCCAATGCGTGAAGCTATTGACGTTTGCACAACATGTCTTACAGCAGATTTTCGTTTACCTATACCAAGCAAGCTTATGTCTTTTCTTTCCCATTTTAGATTCAACGATTTGGCCAACTCTTCCGTCATGAAATTGAACTTGGGAACCAGAATCGAGTAAGGCCCTGGCTAGTTGGAAATATCCTGATTGATCCATAACTTGAACAACTGCCGTAGCAAATATGACCTGATCAGATACAGTAGTTGCATGGTTAACAACCGAAGTTTGTGCTGGCGTTGCCGGCAGGGCAACTACTGACTGACTAATAGGAGCAGGATGTGGGCCGTTTGTGGCATATTTGTGCAGGATTGTGTGGTGTGGTTTCGAGCAAACTTTACACCCACACACACTTTCGTTGTATGACCCTTTCTAAGGCAGTTTATGCATAACATAGACCGTTTCACGAAATTGAAGCGTTCGTCTCGAGTTTTCGCTGCAAATTGGGTACACGAATGTATGTACTTGTAGTGCTCATTCGACTGGCAGAATGGACATTTCGGACCAGACGGTTGACTAGGCTGAGCAACTGGTAGCGCAACTTTACTATTTTTTTCGCATTTCGATTCTTCAGCGGACAAGTGCTGATAACGTCGATTGAGCGCAGCCTCGCAATCTTCCCAAGACGGAAGACGGCTGTAGTCAAGGCTTTCCTCCCACTTTGAACGTGTAGTGAGGTCAACTTTGCTCATAATCAAATGTATGAGCATTAAGTTTGAAACAACTATAATCGTACACGCGCTTAAGCGCTGCAAGCGCTTTAGGATAATTCTCCTCGGTTACCTGATAGGCCTTCACGGTACCGAGCGCTTCTTTTTCTAGGCATGAAAGCAGGTGGTTAAACTTTTCAATATTGGACAAAGATGAATCGTCGTCGACCAAGCTTTCAAAAAGTCCAATAAAGTTGTTATAATCGGAATAGTTTCCGCTACATCTCGGCAACTTCATTGATGGACTATCCCTATGGAGTTTTGCCCGTCCACCTCTGCTCATGAGCAATGCCTTTGCTGTGACGCACAGACTTTCTAGCCAGCACTCGGTTTTACTAGAATTGGACTCGTCTAATTCTCTGCTCTGTACTTGCTTGCACTTTTTACTAGGCATCTTGTTTCTGTATTATTTAAAGCGGTGTATAGGTAAACTTTAATAACAGCTGGCGATTATCAAGTCTAACGCTAATATACTAATGGACAGGTACAATGGCTAGTGTATTAGAGCGGCACGCCTTGAGTTAGCTGCCTACAAATGTGGACAAACTCAAACGTGTGCCTAATATATTTGGCCGGCACTGTTCTATTAGGTAGCGCAGCTGATCGACGCAAAGCAAACACATGTTCAATAACTCGAATTAATATTTGAATTATCAAACGTTGGCAGCGCAGCTACAATAGAATAAATATTCGGCAGCGACGCAGGCGCTAGCAGAACATCTTTTTTCGACGGCTGGCGCAACGAGAAAGCGCACAAGCAGCAAGTGCGAAGAGAACCGCTTCAAATTCTAAGTCTAGCGACGAATGCACAAAACCAACACACGATTGCTTGTTGCTTTGTGTGTGCCTATGTACATCTGTAACCGTTTGCAGACCGAGCTGCAACGATGGACAGTGGACACAAGTACCAAAGGAAAAGGCAACGGCAAATTGGTAAAGCGCAACGACCCAACCGAGAATTTGGCGCGACTGAAACTTTTATATTCTATATTATGTAGGTATGTGTGTATGTATATACATGCGTGTGTATATATTTGTAGTAGGTAGCTTTATTTTTACATTCACATTTATTAGGTTAACAAAACATTTCTTAATTTTATAGTTAAGCTAAAAAATAAAGCTATATTTCAAAATTAATCAACTTGGTTAAAAAACCGTCTGTCGTTCACCAACAAATTACCCTAAACTTCATTGGTTACTACACCTGGCTGCCCGGGTCTTCCCCAGATACCAGATCGTTGGCCGTGAAGTTCGGATAAGAAGCTGGTGTTACTGCAATACTTAATTTACAATTAATTTACCGCCATCAGCCATTGTTTTTATTTTATTATTATTTTTGGCTATGTTTATGTTATATATATTTAAAACATATTTATATTATAATATATATAGTTACATTTGTTCCTTTCATTTTAATTTTATTAAATTTAAAAATCACCAAGCTGTATCTGCTCCCTAAAAGCGCATGTTTTAGATATTTTACTAATGCAGTCCAATTTGTTCCGTTCAGGAGATCCATGGTCTGTTCCGAATTCATACGACTTTTCTGTAAATGTTGAAATCTAACCTCGCTCAGAATTGGACAGGTGCCGATGAAGTGTATGATATTTTCTGTGGCTTCGAGATTGCACAGGTCACATATCCCGTTTGAAATGTGAGGCGAATAGTTTAATGGCAACGTTTCGGTGCGAGCTTTAAAAAATTAGGGATATTTCCGCGATACTGTATTTATCGTTGAAATAGTTTGTCTCCCCGAGATTTTTATTTAATTCTCTGTAAATTGAACGGGTGTCACTTTGGCACGCTTGGACAACAAACTTATTCCTAGTAGCGATATTGATACTCTTTAAAATTTCGCATTGTGCTGGGGCCCAGGTGCTAGTGTCGGAAATATCCAAAGCAACGCCATATTCCCTGGCCAGGCTCAGCCAGGATTGAAAAAACTTACTTGAGTCTCTCTGTAGGAACTTTGTTATTATGTTCGGCAGCCTTGTATCTGGCATAAGCATGGTTTTTTGTATGTATGAGAAGTGTGCATACAGTGCTTCAGAGTATAATATCGATAGTCCAATGTGGATTGCATAATTTGGGGTGTACTTCGGTAACCTAAATATTTTCTTTATAAAGAAACGCTGCAGTTTTTCGACTTCTTCATAGTACTGGTGTACCCATATTTGTGCTGCATAAAGCATAATGGACCGCACCGTAGCTCTAAATAATTTAAACTTTATACTTGGTAGTATTTCTCGTTTACCAAGGAATGACTGCCAAGTACTGTTTAGGGCTTTTATGGAGTCCGAGAGTTTTAATTTAAGGTTCTCTTTAACTATCTCTAACGTCGCCCCATTTATGTTCCAACTTTCGTTCTCTGGACGACCTCTCCCATCTCGGATAACCATCACCTTTGTTTTTTCCGTATTAGCTTGTAGGTTCCATTTCTCACAGTAAACGTAGAGAGCATTTATCATCTCCTGCAGTTACTGGGGCGTTTCTGCCAAAATCACCATGTCATCTGCATACATCAAGACCTTGATAGTTGTAGTTCCCAAAGATATACCTCTGGGAAGGATCTTTGCGATGTCGTCGATGTATAAAGAAAAGAGTAGGGGGCTCAGTAAGCATCCTTGTTTTACGCCAGTGTTGTGGCAAAACCAGTTTGATAACTCCGTTCCGTCCCAGACAGCAACTAGATTTTTCCCTGTACAGATTGCAAATGATTTCGAGAATTTTGGACGATACTCCAAGTTGATAAAGGATGCTTGTTCTGTGTATAGTATCGAAAACAGCTTTGAAATCCACAAAACAAAGATATAGTTTTTGTTTTCTGTCCAGGTATAGCTTCGCTATGGATGTCAACGAAAACACGCTATCCACCGTCGAGTATCCACTTCTGAAGCCACATTGAAATTCGCTAAGCACGATGTTGATTGTCACCCATGTTGTGAGCCTCTCTAAAATGAACGACGTGAAGACTTTCGCTACAGCATTTAGACAAGAAATTCCTCTATAATTGCCTGCTATTTTAGGATCCCCCTTTTTAAGAAGCGGGAAAAGTATGCTTTTTCTGAAGCTGGACGGTACCACGGCAGCGTTAAAAGTTCTATTATATTCGACAGTTAGCACATTTTGAAGTTCCGGAGGTGCGAATTTAAAAAATTCTGCCGTAATCCGATCTTCTCCTGGGGCTTTATTTAATTTGGCTCGCTTAATGGCTGAACTTACTTCCGTCATGTGAATTGGCGCATCTAAAAAATCATTTGCAATGGTTGGGAGTTGCAGGGTTAAGTAGCAGTCAACTGATGGGATATATGTAGAGTAATGTGGAGAAGTGGGAAGCCAGATCTGATGCATTGGCTTTTATAATCCTGTTCTTCACTCCGCCGTTTAGTCTTTCAACTAGAGCCCAAAAAGATTTCCTGTCATTTATAGTATTTATCTGCATTTCTAGGTTAATATTATATTGCCTTTTCTTTCTATTGCAGCACTCCTTAAAGTTTTTATTTGCAACTCTATAGTTTGACCACTCTGATGTGTTCTCACTACAGGGAGCGATCTGTCTCAGGTGGAAGGACAGATTTCTGTCATCCGCACATTCATTGTCAAACCATGGTTTGTCAAAACTTATGTTACGCGGCTTTTGCAAACCTCCGGCTGCATTTTTGATTGCCTTTGCGATCGCATCTATTTGGTTTTCATGAGGACCTTGAAATCTTTCCAGATGCTCTAAGTTTCTCTGTAGGCATGACACGTATTTGGGCCTAAGTGTTTCAGTCCAGGATAGACTTTCAACTCTTTCAGTCTCTAAACAAACCGATACTGCAATTGGTAGGTGGTCAGACAGCATATCCCCGTCTACTGCCATATCCGAGACACGACTGTGCCAAGCTCCGCCTACCATGCAATAGTCAATTGTGGACTTGCCCTGCCCTTCTATGAACGTGAAAGCTCCATTCGAATCACTTTCAGTCCTACCATTTAGAATAAGGAGATTTGTAGCCTCACACATTTCCAGCAATTTCTCGCCTTTTGAATCCAATGTTTCGTCCTTCGCTTTTCTGGCCATACCGTCGTGTTTACTTTGCGGGGCATAAGATTGGATCGTGGCTTGCTCAGGGTCCTATTCGGGCATTGAAGTCTCCAAGCAGCATTATGTTTTGATAGTCAAGTGCCATCAGGAAATCATATAGCTCTTCGAAGGCGCCTAACCATTTATTGCAGTTTAGGTAAACGGGTACTATAACGAAACTTTCGTTTTTGGTGATTAGTTTAATGACAGTTGTTTTGTTTATAGTTTCAAAAGTGCATTTGTATTGGCTTAGGAAGTTTTTCTTCACTGCGAATAGGTAACCTCCGCTTGCTCGTCCTTTTTGTGACATTCGAGTGGCCGGGGTCCAGTGGAGGTTGAAATCGGGGAAATAGTTTGTATATACGTCTTCATCTTTTTCAATGAAGGTTTCGAATAAGAGTGCAATATCAAATTT